TTATTAATAGGCAGATAACATATATTCATCAGATGGAATGCCAAATAAATGCTCAATATTTTTAGATCTAAACTTATACTATAGAAATTTACTAATTAGCTCATACAACTTTTTTTTTTTAAATCAATCATTTAACTCAATTAAAAGTCAAACTCACAATTAAATAATAAATTAAACTATTGAGCAGTTAATGTCTAATGCCAGCATACAAAATTAAATTTAAAATAGTACATAAAACCTAACTAATGCAAATCACCTTTCATTAGTTTCATTATCTTTCATCAGTTTCATCACCTTTTGTCAGTTTCGTAGTTTCGTCACCTTTCGTCAGTTTCGTTATTTCAATTTTTTTTTGACAAAAGATGAAACTAGGTTTCGACTTTTGTCAATGATGAAACCCTTAGGTTTCGTTTAACGACATTAATTGCAGCATTATATTATTTTAACACAATAGCGTATATTTTGTCTTCTAAGCAAAGTTCGTCATTTTTGAGACTATTTTGAGATTATTTTATAGTGAATACTTAAATCGGTCAATTTGGCGAGTCAGTCGCTCCACAATCCAAATTCTTGTGTAACCTATGGTTGGCTTAGTCAAAAAGAGACGTTTAGATTTGGTTGGTAGTTTGGGTCCATAGGTGAGTATTTCTTCTTTACTTGTCTTGCATTTTCCTTCCCTTGACTTACTAACTCTATTTCTCAATTACCTTACTACGTCGGGTAATTGGACAACACGTATAACCACACTATCCTTAGTCCTTCGGGATAGTGGAACGATACTACCACGGCTAATCCTGGTACTTTAGAATACAACAGCCGGATGGGGGGATAACAATACTACTGGATAAAACAGCCAATTACAAGAAATGAGTTTTATAGTCTGGGGATTTAGCGATTAGTTAATGTAGCAAGGGAGGCATTTATATATTTATTATTATGTAAGGGCCAGGTATTATTTTAATAAAGCAAACTTCGTCCCCTTCCTTAGGGCTTTTACAGCCTTTATTTATAAGAATATTTTATATACATTTTCTTGGTCTATATTACCATTATCTAAGACAATAATGATTATGACTATATTAGTGATCCCTCTATTACCAACTAAGTTACTTACTTCGCTCTTTTCCTCAGAAAGGACTTTTCCTACATTTTGGTCCTTTCTGATGATTCTGATTTTTCTAGCCAGGTCACCCATATTTGGTTAGCCGTGTTACATGGCACGTGACTTAGCCGAATAACAATACTGACGTTCAGTCAAAGCAAAAAATAACTTTCGCTGTAATTTTTTATTAGTAAAACATTACAATCTTAAAAAGTACTCTAAAATGTATAAGTAAGTTGCAGGTAAACCATACTCTACATTTACATTGTACAAACTCCATTCTTGGTATAGAAAAAAAAAATACTATGAGGCACAATGCATAATTGACAATTCCAATGAAATCACGACTAAAACCTGATGCACATATAATATATGTAAAAGCTCGAATAATATAACGATAACACAGTATGTTAAATTTGGTAACGATCTTCATCACAAATGCATGCACACAAAAGTCACAAAGTATAAACATCTAATCACATGCCTAAAATTGCGAACTTCACTTAATTTGCTATAAAACCAACAGAAGGAAACGTACCTGATCCAAAGTTAATCCTACACACGGTGTGATTAATTAAAACTAAAATAAATAATTTTAGTTTTAATTGATCACACTGTGTGTGGGATTCACTTTGGGTCAGATACGTTTCCTCTTGTTCATAAAACCATACACTCTGTATTTCATACTCTATTTCTAATAAATTATAACTTCCCTAGTATACCCCTAAAAAAATGTTACGAAACTGAGTTTAAATTTTTTCCGAATAACAAAATCCTATATTCAAAATTAGAAGTCTATAATCAGCGATGATGGTACTTAATTGTCGCATTTAACGCAATTTAATAATTTTTTAGAATCGAGTTTTTTTTTAAATAAACCATAACTTATGATGTTTAATTTCTAAGCTATGTAGTCCCATCACTATCTATAATTCTTTCGCTTCGACAAATAATCGACAAATAGTAGCGAAATTACACTGAAAATATATATACTTAAACTAGACATCGGATGTCAATTTTGATTAATTTAGTTATATATACATACTAATTAAAATCTTACCAGAAACTATTCTGGTTTATGTCGTAACAGCCTCTACTGCATTAATCTCAATTCTTTCAATTAAATCATTAATATAAGTGACTCTTAATATAAGAAAGTTGCCTAGTCCAGTCAAAATCTTATATCAGTTTTTTATTATAAATTCTTAATTAGAATTTACAAATCTTATAACAAAAGTTTTTTCTATCGTATTTGTAAATACTCTGTTTAATAACTGTATTTGACTATTCTACAATTATTTGTCACTACATCATTTGTGCTTGTAAAAAAATTATGTAATATTTAAGATTGATAAATGGCATTTTCTTATATATAAACATGTCGTTTCTAAGTAATTAGCAATTATCAAATATACTGTATATATTATTATGTTAAAATGTTAAATATCTATATAATTATAAAAATTAGTAACACTTAATATTAAATACCCAATAGAGCATTAAAGCAATGAACTAGATTCTCAATATAGAAATAGAATACAAAATACCAATCTCGATAATATTATTCCAGATAAAATATGCATTTTTTTATTCAGATTTTTTTTCATTTTTGTCAAGCTTTATAAACTATTAACCATTTGTCGATTGGTTTAAAATTTGGTTCGATGTTTTTCAATCATTTCTTATTTGCTGAAGAAGTTTAAACAGCTTGAAAGACATTTTCCTGTATAATATACTATATGTTATTGAAAATTATTTTAATAACACTCATGTGTACATACATCAAGAAGGGGGAAGGGCCAGATGAGTTTGAACCATCCACCTCTGTGTTATCAACACAGCACTCTCACCAAATGAGCTATGACCCTGATTTAGATGTCAAAAGTAAAGTAAAGAATTGGGGGAGAAGCTTTGATATCCTTTCTAGGGCTAGGCCCCTGGCATCATCTAAGCAATCTCATCGTCTATCTATTGGTATTTATTTTGCCATTTTCTTTCTCATATCGTTTTGGCTCATTCTTATCTGTAAGCACTTATAATGTGATCAAAAGATTTTGGATTTTTCAACTTTTGTAGTACTTAGATGTTTCGCTCATATTGTTTAGAATGGTAAGAAATAAGTAAAAGAAAAATTAGATTGTGTTGATTAAAATTGATTATTGATTAAAATTAATTATTAATCAATACATTAAGTTGCATTTTAAATTTAAACCCAGTTTCGTAACATTTTTTTTAGAGGTATACTAGGTTCGTGATAAACTATACATATAGACGATTTTCCTAATTTTTTAACCTTTGCAAGAGAATCGGCACTAAAGATACCAAATTTAGTTTTTATTGATCGCGTTAAAGAATCATATTTAGATAGGAAGGATATACTTGATCTCTTAGAAAAGTATATCAAGTAGAATTTAACAAAAGTATGATTCCATAACTGCTATAGTATAGAAGTGCTGTCAAAAGAAAATGCATGTTCAATTTTGGATTATATTTTGTGTCAGACATGACTTATCTAATTTATTAGGGTTGTTCCCAATACAAAATATAATTGAAAATCTGTAATTCTTTATCTCCTGACAGCACTCATTTCCTGTAATTTGCAATATGTATAAAATGCAATATGTTATGTTTTTTATTAGATTGGTAACAAGTATTATAGGTATTGTATTGGTATTTCATATGGGTCAGTTATATTGATATTGCTTTGTAGGTTCATATTTACACAATTAATAATTGGTTTCTTTTTCGATATTTATATATTGATACCTTATAATCATTTAATATATGGCTTTTATTATAGAGAGATGGAATGGAAAGTGCTTCCTCTTGTGAAGCATGATGATGATGTAAGTTAATATATCGATTTGGGAAGTGTTTCCTTTTGTGAAGCATGATGATAGTGTAAGTGAATATATCGATTTCAATTGTGAGATGGTTATGAAAGCTGGGAGGAAAAGTTGAAAGAAATTGAATTTGATAGTGTGGATGCTTTTGAAAATCAAATGTTTGATGCAATTAGGAATTCGATTGACAAGGTAACTAGAGAGAAAAGAAAACAAAGATGATGCAAAGAGATTATTGTTGAGATAAGGTTTTTAGTATCTTAATTAGAAGAAAGTTCCAAAAAACTTTTTGATACTAATGTTAATTATAAAAATTGAAAACAAAAGATTAAGAAACAAGATGAGTTTTTTGATTTGTGTCTTTCTTCATGGGAATAGCAAATTTCTTCTATACTACTTGGTAATTGTTCTAAACCGAAATCTATATCAGTATTACTAATTTCTAAATATTTTAATTTGGTTAGATTTTTTAAAGATATGTTTGGTTTGTTTGAA